AGCATATCATGTTCTATATTGCTAGCTCCAATCAATCTTTTTTTCCTCCTTTGGCCTCCTTGCCGATCTTCGATGATGATAAGTGTGATGATACTCAACCGCCACCTCCTCTAGATCCCACTCCTCCTGATCTGGATCTGCCTCCCTCGTCCGGGCCCTCTTCAGCGGGTTCCTCCTCTGCTGGTTCCTCGTCCGCAAACTCCTCTACATTGATAGCATCATCATCTGCTGACAATTTTGCCTCCGACTCATCATGCGCGTCCTTGGGTTCCCCTCCAATGTCGCCTCCGCCTGCGGAACCACCTATTATGCGTTGTCCCCTTTGGCAGACTCGCGGACAACCACCACCGAGATTAGATGATTATGTTAATTTTGGGGTTTAGGCTATTTTGATTCCCACTCGTTATAACCAGGCCAAGGAGACTCCCGTTGGCGACAGGCTATGGATACAGAGACCGATGCACTTCATGCAAGCAAGACTTGGACATTGGTACCTAGACCACCTCCGGAAGTTCCTATTGTTGGATGTCGTTATTTATATGCAGTGAAGATGCTTACAGATGGGTCCTTGGAAAGGTTTCGAGCTTGTCTCATTGTTCAAGGGTTCCCTCAGGAGCACAGGGTGGACTATGATGAGGCGTTTGCATTGGTTGCGAAGATGTCAACCGTCCGGACTTTGCTCGCAGTGGCTTCTCTCTGCCATTGGCCACTATTCCAGCTCGACGTCAAAAATGTTTTCTTATATGGTGACTTGAAGGAGGTTGTGTACATGGAATGCCCGCCCGGTTATGCTTATGGTGATTTCTCCTAGGTGTGTCTCCTTCATCGTTCCTTGTACGGTCTTAAACAGGCTCCCCGGGCCTAGTTCGAAAAATTCCAGTCTACTATCCTGCAGTGCGGTTTTCATTAGAGTTTAAGTGATCCGTCCATGTTTACAAAGAAATCAAGGGCTGGTTTGGTTGTTCTGCTGTTGTATGTTGATGATATGATCATCACGAGGGATGATGCTCGCAGGATAGATGATTTGAAGCAGGGTTTGCAGAAGGCTTTCAGTCTTAAGGACCTTGGTGAACTGAATTATTTTCTTGGTCTCGAGGTTAATCGCAGTTCACAAGGCATAGTTCTCAGTCAACGGAAGTATATTGGTGATTTGCCTAGTGATCATCATTTCGAGGATTGCAAGTCGGTTAGTGTACCCATGGAGATGGAGTTGAATCTGAAGCTTAGTCGTACTTCTGGTGATCTATTGCCTGATGCTGCTGGGTATCGCAGTTTAGTCGGCAGCCGTATTTATTTAGCGGTTATGCGGCCAGATATATCTTATGCCATACAGATAGTTAGTCAATATATGGCTGCACCTTGTGTAGATCATAGTTGCGCTCATCGGATCCTACGCTATCTTCAAGGGACGCGTGATGTGGGTATGTGTTTTCCATCAACTGGTACTCCTGTACTTGGTGCCTATTCCTATTCTGACTTTGCAGGCTGTATCGACACTTGCCGATCCACTACTGGGTGGTGTGTGCAATTTGCTGGTTCCTTCATCTCTTGGCGATGTAAGAAACAAGACAAGGTGTCTAAGTCATCTATAGAGGCGGAGTATAGGGCCATGTCGGATGTCAGCTTGGAGTTGATTTGGTTGCGCCGACTGTTGGGTGATTTGGGTGTATCGTGTTTGCTACCCATGGAGTTGTTCGTTGATAACACAAGTTCTATTTAGATTGCCACCAATCATATGCTTCATGATCGCACGAAAGACATTGAACTGTATGTTCATTACAGTAGAGATCTTGTTCGGGATGGATCGATTAATCTACACTACGTTCGGATAGATGATCAGCTGGCAGATATCTTTACCAAGTCTTTCACTAATGCCTGACACTGGTATCTATCAAGCAAATTGATGCTTCGTTCCCGACATCAATTTGGGGGAGGCTGTTAGTGATATATGTGGTTAGCTTGAGCCCATTGTATATACCCTCCCAGTTAAGTATGTTTAGCCCATGTTATTAGCCCATGCACAAGATACATGTTGAGTGCTAGGGTTTGATGGGATATATATTCTCCTCTTTTGTACATCGTCGAACCAACTAAGTCAGATAATGAATTCGTTCTTGGAGAGTACAAACTCTCCCGTGGATTAGTCCTGGCCTTCCAGGGATACCACCTTAAATTCGTTTGTGTCATTTGATTCAGTTTGCTAATAGTTTCAAGTTGCTTTGTGGCCACGAGGAATGGGAGCGCCGAAGGCAGGCTTGGAGTTAGTTTCCAACGACCGCGTGACATATTCAGCAATGACATTATAGAATGGAGAGATTAGTGATCATACTTTTCAGTGGCACTTGAGAGTAGTCCTATCGCCAACTATAATGTTTGATCTTCAATCCATCTAAATTTATTGTTGCAAAAGACAAACAATGGTGAATGATTAACAAACTAAGAGAAACAGAGGACAAAGAACTTTTCAAGACGAAATGCGAAACTTGTAAGCAAATATTTCAAGGATCATTCCAAGTGTGTCAACCCCAACCTAAACCACCAGTCACAACAATTTCCCGCTGCATATGCAAAGTACGGTTCAGAAAAGCAGAAACAAAAAGCAAAAATAAATTAGTTCATTAGAGCTCCCCAAGAAGAAATAAGGAAAAGAGATAAGAGTATTGAGCGAGGACCAAGCATCGGAATTGAAAAATGATATGGAATACACATGTTGGATCCAAGCCTCAGAACGATGAAAGCCTGTGGTTTTTTTTTCAAATGAAAGTGTATTAAACACAAGGAACAAAAATGTAGCTTACTTTATGTACGGACTGTAGGTGTATAAACCATGGAAACCATGCACTATCTTTAAACCAAAATTTAAGTACAATCTTCAAGTACATTGATAACGCAAATTACAGTAGCTCATCGGAGTAGCAATTGCATGTGGTGGTTCAAAAATATTGATCCATTTTTCGCCTTTAGAATTCTATGTTGGTGTGTGTTGTAGTTAGGAAACATGATGAATATTCGATAGGACACATATCTGTCATATGAAATCGGGATGTAAGTCATTGGAGTGATTCACAACCCACCCAACGTCTACCCGAATAAGTGTGATAGAAAATTTTGTATGCATAATCTGCTCAGATTAATCATTCATGCACTGCGTTTTGCGTTATTTGTCAGTGGATCAGTATCATCCCATATATTAACCACCCACATGTGCGCTCGTCTTTTTCTATTTTTGTTTTGGCTCGATAGCACAAATTACGGCCGTATGAAATGAATTTTTTATTATTACGAATTATGAATTGAGTTTTCAAAATACCTAAAAAATATTTTGAGTCTTATTGTATTGTGTTGTGTTGTGTTATTTATCAGTCTACTTAGTAGTAATTATCATCCTAAGTTGCGACCAATATCGTTGACTTTTCATGTTTTTACGACAATATCCCGTTGTTTACTCTGTGACTATTTTTTGCTTTCTTCGTTTCCAATTGTGAGAAAATGTCATCTTCAATCCTTTACTAAACATGTTATACTAGACTCCCAGTAGTCCTTCCTATTTATTACAGTCAAGAGACTCAACCACAGTTTTTGTTACTTCAAGTTGCTCCCAACAGTCACGTCACATGCCACACTTCAACTTGCCATTTGAACCTATTTCGGTCACTTCACCCACCTCATAGTTACCACTGTCGGGCTCCTTTGCTAAACCTTACCACCAAGAAGCGAGAAAAAGTATTTGTGCTCATGAAGTCCAACAAAGGCTACTCGGACGAGGCACATAGTTTCTCCTTACATGTGCAACAAAAGAGCACCAAATGCCACCAAATGACATTCCTTCTCATAATCATATTATCCTTCTACTTCTTTAATTCTTCAGGCTCTTGCAACAACCACTCCTCTATAGGCGTGATATCAACTTACTTTCTCTCCAACTCAATTACTTTGCTCTTTAACTCCTCATCAACCGTTTTCCTCCTTTGCTCAGTTTCCAACTCTAGCTCACATCTTTTGGCATCCAATCTCAAATTGCCAAAAGTGTGGTAGAATTTCGAATCAACATAAAGAAAATATTTTGGAGTTTCACTGAGTTTAGAAAACACACTCAAACAAACAAGGTTTTAATTTTCGCAGTAGTTGTTACAAATGAACACCCACGCAACAGACTTTCATTCTTTTCTTTTCTTATCTCTCTCACGCATGCTGATTTTTCTCTTCCCATAGGTAGACATTATATACGTAACATGCCTATTTGCTAGCTTCTTGACTTGCACTTATTTGCAGATCTAAAATAAGGTTTTCACATGTTTTCACATGTTGCATAGGATTATGATCCTCCCTACTTAAAAATCGCCCAACTTAGTGTATAAATTGTACAATTAGACTGCTTTATTTATCTTTCATTTAGGCCTAGTTAAAGATTTTTCTGTTTCACTTGAAGCTTAGTCATAGGAGATCTATAAAAAAAAGATAAGACCATTTTATGAGCCCGTAGGCGAAGGTTTATTATGAGCCCGAAAAGCGGGCGAAGGTTTAGAATATATGAGCGCGTAGGGCGAAGGAAGAATTTTGGCATTTTGCCCCACCGGAGAAGCAGGGGCTGATCGCCCCGGAAGGGGTGTGACTGATTAGGCGACTCCATGATTAGGGAGCGGATTAGTGAAAATTCCTTGAAAGGAAAGAAACGAAGTTGCTCGAATCATTCCTTCTGCGCCAATATTCTGCTTTTTCCTGGATACTCGGGTTCAAATACCCACGGATTCGCCGTTCGCTTACTAGCTTCATAGAATTCCGAAAACACTCGTTTTCTCGAAGCTTCTTGTTGAAGAATAAGTTGGGATAATAGCGATATCAAGAGTCTACTCTGTTTAGTCTGGGACCCCAACGAAGGTATCCGCGGAAGCTGCTTGGTTAGTAGTTTATTCTCCAGCAAAAGAAATAGGAAGAGTCAGAACTGGTAGGGATGTTAGCTCAATAAGGAAAGTCTTGCATCACTTCTTCTTTCATTAGTTGGCTATTCCTAAGGTCTATTCCAATCTCTTAAAGTCATGGCTTAGTCCCCCATTAGACTTAATCTTTAGGGCTATAAAACTAGTCCAGCTTCTTATTATGAAGAAATTAGTTCGAACTAAGAGCCTATCACAAGGCTTTATATATTAGATATGATCTCCTCCCTTAGAATAATAAATAAACAGAGGCTTCTGCCTAAGCTTGATCCTATAGTTCAAAATGATGATATCATGAAATTAATAGAATCATTCTTAAAAATGATATCAATGCAAATACCGTACAGGCATTGTTTGCGTATTGCATACGGCTCCATAATAGATTCAATTTTACCTTTCCTTTCATCAAAGAAAAATATAGAGTCTATCGGGCCTAGATCGGTAAATGGTCCAATAACCACCCTTCCCTTGGTAGGAGTGAAAAAACCAAAATACTATGGTGGCCCCGCTGCTTTATTTGATTGGTGATTTAACAATCCCAAATTTTCTTTTTTTTCAAATAAAAAATACTGAAAAAGCGTAGATTTTTTTTTGGTACTCTTTCATAACATAAAGAGTATTAAGAGCCTTATGGCGTGAAAACAAAAAATTTTGTGACGTTGAAAAGGGCTCGTGATAAATAAGATAAAATCGGGAATACCCTCATATCTCATACTACATCGAAGCCATATGAAGTTTTACCATGAGCAGATTGAATCCATTGGGAAAATATGAGTTCAATCAAGATTTGTTTTTCCGGAGTCCCGAAAGCAAGCATGACATCATTATGAACATAAAGTCCCAAAGTATGGAATCCCAGAAAGAGGCTGGCCCAACTTAAATGGGATATGATAGCTTCTTTATGTTCTAACATTCTTGCCAATACATTATCCTCATTGTGCTCCGGATTGTAATCTCTAATAAAAAATATAGCTCCGTGAGCAAAAAGCTCCTGTCATGATGAATCCTGCAATATATTGGTGATGAGTATATAACACAGCTTGAGTAGTAAAGTCTTGCGCTATGAACGCATAAGCAGGTAACCCTAGCCCATTCCCATTTTGGGCGGAACAGATCTACTAATTTTTTGATTCCAGTTAGTTAAAAGGGATCTTGAACTAAGAAATAGATTCTAGAAGCTAAAAAGGTTATCTTGAGCTCCCTTCCTCTTCCAAATGCTGCAAGGCCTCGCTCTTGGGTTTAACTACCGGTTGGGTTAAGTTAATGGACTCAACCACCAATCCATTGAGTTGTCTCACCTATTTCCTAGAAGACTAAAAGGAAAACTCTTGATAGTTAGTAATAGTAGAAGCTTGCAAAATGAATCTGTTTATCATAAAGAGACCTTCGTTGTTCCTGACCCTGCTTCACCTTAATTGTTATTTGAGCAAGTAAAAGCTATGTCTTGGTCCGAGTGGGGATAGTCTTTCTCTTCTGCATGTCTATGGAGTTTTGAAAAATCCAAGCATCTCAGAGATAGATAGAGAGGTAGGAATTTTTCGAACGAACCGCACTCCTTCGTAGGTCAAAGCAAAAAGAAAATTTGAATATTTTTTATCTTTCCTTTTTTATGTCAGAAAAAAAGGGAAAGATAATTTTTCTATTATTCAATAGAATTATTCAATACCAATATACTAATACAACAAAAAAATATTAATTAAATGTTAAATAATAAGAAATTTCAAATAATAAGAATTATGATTTTACATATGGACAATTCCTCAATATCTTGTTCATTCGCAACAAAAAAATTTCTTTGTGCGGCGGTAAAAAAAACATGTCATTTCGGAGAGAGATACTATTTCACCAATCGAGTCACAGGTACTTAACATATTCATACCTAATGATTTTCCACAAAGTGGTGACGAAAGGTCTAACTTGTACAAATCTTTCCATTTTCCAATTCGATCCGACCCGTTCGTTCGTAGAGCTATTTATTCGATCGCATACCTTTCCATTTCGAGACGAATGGCTCGTTCCCGCTCCCTTTCCCAATGATTTACCAGGCCCTGAAAAGCGCGAAGCCGCTTTACGTTTTTTCTTCTGATCTCCTCTTGGTGTAGCTGGGCGGCGACGATGTAAGGGTTCGGTTCTTGCTCCGGCTCAGGTGCTGCTGCTGGAGGTAAGTGGAAATCGGGAAGCGGTTGGCTCGAAGAGCCCGCATCGTTTCCGTTCGAAGAGCCCGCATCGTTTCCGTCGCCTCCAATAGGTAAGTTGAGATCGGGAAGCGGTTGGCTCGAAGAGCCCGCATCGTTTCCGTCGCCTCCAATGGATATAGGTAAGTTGTCCATTTCAGAAATGAACGCTGTGTTTCCCTCCCCTACGAATAGAGGAAGATCAACATCGCCGCCCAGATACCTAATAAGAAAAGAAGAGGATTGAACGAAGATCCAGTACAGGATGGGGTAGTTCGTACGAAAGATCATAAAAAGAACTAAAAAATATATTCCCGTATATAAAAAAAGTTGGTTCGCCATCCTCAATTGTTCTCTCGACTAAAATCCAAAGCTCGCTCTGTCCACTCGCTCCTTCTTGTTCTAATTCAAATGCGAGCAACTTCGCACCTTCTTCCTACGGTCGAACATATTCCCCTCCTCTCCCTCGGAGTTGGGGGATAAAGATTTTTTTTTGTTTTGAAAAACTCTTTAATAACAATAAATAAAGGTATATATCTCTTCATGCTTGCGAAGACAGGGCTCCCGTTCGTGATCAATCAACGCCCTCAACTAGCATCTATTAGTTAAGGTGGGTCCATCGCTAGGCCAATAAAGTGAGTGTGCCTTAGGTTCTACGGACCGATGCCTGCTGCTTCATCTGGAAGAAAAGAATCATAGATATGCCGGTCATTAGAAGGAAGAACCGCCATAAAAAGATTCCTCGTGTATCATCATAGAGTTTCATTTCGCAAAGCAATGAAAAAGCTATTGAATTAACAGAACAGACAGATACAAAAGGAATTCAAATACAAATTGGGTTGGATGCAGTTACTAATTCATGATCTGGCATGTACAGAATGAAAACTTCATTCTCGATTCTACGAGAATTTTTATGAAAGCATTTCATTTGCTTCTCTTCGATGGGAGCGAAAAACCGCTCGCTGCCTTTTCTTCGTGAATAAGATGTGCAGAGGCGTTAAACTCCACTTCAATCAGCTTACCTATGGATTAGCCTATTTTTGCCGCCTTTGTCTTCGTCATTCGATCCAGGAGATCTTCCATAAAAAATCTTGGTATTTTTGTTTTAATTAATTTAAATTAATAATTAATTGAATCTTGTTTCAGATTCATCGACTCTTATCTTCTTATCTATTTTTTGTTTTTATTTTGTAAGTAAATTAATAAATAATAAAAAAATCAAACATAGCCGAAATTGAAATACCCATTTTTTGTTCTTTGTTAGCAAGGGAACGGGAAAAGAAAGTTCTCCGAAGAAATAAATTGGGCTTCCCAATGCTTCTCCACGCCCAACGAAATGTGCCAACCTCTCGATAGGGTACACATATCTAAATTTGATATTTTTAGATACCTTTTCAGACCTATTACCGATACTAAGTAGCAGTCAAATATTTGTATCCATTTTTCATGATATTATGCGTGGATCAGATATATCATGGCGAATATTAAAAAAAAATGGCTGCAGAATCTATCATGAGAGGCATGGTTTGCTGCTTCAAACATCCATGAAGTCTAATCGAATGTTTGTTTTGCAAGCTAGGAATCTCACAGAAGAAAGTAGTCATTGTCTGCACACTGATACCCCATACAATGACATACTAAACCTATGGCACAGAAGGTTTGGTCATTTGAGCAAACCTGGACTACTTCAATTGCAACGAGGAAAGTTGGTTCAGGGATTCCAAAACTCACTGGGGAGCTGGAAGTATGTGGAACCTGCATGATTGGCAAGCAATGTAGAAGCAAGTTCCCAAAGAAAGGAGCATGGAGAGCTATCAAGCCACTCACTCCAGAAATGGAACAAAGGGAGGAAGAAGAAGACATCAAAATAGAACCAAAGTACAAAACGAGGGAAACTAAAGAGGAAGAGGAGGGGGACTCTCCCTTTTTTCCGAAGAAAGAGAGGACCCCGACGAAACTGCTGAAATAGAAGAGATTCAAATGAATATAAAGAAAAAAACTAAGGATGAGTTCCATTATCACTTTCTAGAGGGGAATCAAGAAGAATCGAAATTCGAAATATTGGTAGATAAAAAAAAAATTTATTCTGGTTTGAAGAACCCCCCGTAACTATTCTTTTCGACTCTAATCGCTGGAATAGCCCATTTCGGTATATAAAAAAAAATGAATTAGAAAATGCTGTAAGAAAGGAAATGTCACAATATTTTTTTTATCCATGCCAAAGTGATGGAAAAGAACGAATATCAAGAACAATGAGAAAATTTTCTTTTATCATAGGTTTTTAAGAAAATAATTGACAGATGAGATAGCTTAACAACATCCAATCCTTATTTTCGAACGGTTGAATTTTTTTTTCTATATTCATATTAATTATGAATAACAAAAGGATGAAAAGTTAATAGCGAAGATTCTCGGAATTTAGGAAATTACTATTTCTCCGCATATACAATTGCTCTTATGTGAGCCCGCTTAGCTCAGAGGTTAGAGCATCGCATTTCCAAGAGGACCCTTCCTTGCTCAGGATGCCACCCTTTCACTCAAAGCGGACGTAACGACAAGGTTAACTACTGAGCGACAACTCCTTGGTTTCTCTCCTATTGTGCAGCTATGGCATAAAGGGAAGCTAAGTCTCCGGTTTTGGTCATGCGACCGGTTCTGTCCGACGCCAGGGAGCCGTGATGAGTTTGGAAGCTGTTTGTTTCTTGTCAAAGCCTTCGCCTTTTTGAATCAAAGTAGGTCGTGACTCTTGTATTTTAGTCGGGCGGCGGAAGATAGCGCTTATACTAGAGCTCCGCTTCCTCATCTTGCTTCTGGTTCTAAGCCATATCTGGCGATGAATCAAGAACTCGAAGTGCTTTTCTTGCGTATTCTTGATAAACAAGCGTTTATATATAGATGTAGGAGGGTAGCAATAACAAGAATATTTCTAGTGGAACATCTTTCACAATCCCTGGAGAGATAGTTCACTAATAGACCGAGGGATAAGTAATTCGACTCATTCACATCCAGACTAGAACTTTTTCCATATTGATAAACCAAACACCAGCAAAAGCTTCAATCTTACCCACTTGAATGCAGCTGTATTGAAATAATCCTTGGAAGTCGCCTTCTCTAACGCAAAGAGAGATGCCCAAACTTCAGAGGGAACGATAACGTATATACTTTCAGAGTCAACATCGATATGATGCTTCTGAAAAATGGCTAAAACAATAATCCATAATATAGAAAAAATAAATAATATAACATTTTAACAATATAGAAAATAAGAAAAAAATAGATAATTAGTCGATCGATAAGAATAAGAGAAGAGGAGATCATATGAAAAATGGAACCAAATCTTTCGTTTCCTTAGGTCACTGGCCATTAGCCGGGAGTTTCGGGTTTAATACCTCCTCTTTTCTAATTAAAATGCGAGCTCGTTCCTCTCACAAAGTTCGAGTATATTGCATAACCTTTCCTAGGACCGGAATGATTATACAAGAAGCCGAGTAGGCGGATTGATTCGAGTGGAGAGAAAAAAAAAATTTGAAGTGAAAATTTTTTCTAGAGATATCCATTTTCCGGGAGCCGAAGAAGTTCCGGGAGTTACGAAGGAAACTTCGAGCTCATATTGTTCATGGGTTGAGAACGGGAATTGAACTCTATGAGATCTAATCTCCCGTTGTTCCTCAGTAGCTCAGTGGTAGAGCGGTCGGCTGTTAACTGATTGGTCGTAGGTTCGAATCCTACTTGGGGAGATTTGATTCATTCCGAATTCTTCAATCTTTACCACAGGTTTAATGTGAATCCTATGTCCACCACCAGTACCTAGCAATTCGGGGTCGAACTGTACCATTGCCTTACACAATCTTGTTTCTATGAAATGGTAGTACCATTAGGTAGAGGAGAGGAATGAAGTTGCTCGCATTTTAATTAGAACAAGAAGGAGAGGAACCCTTAGGTAGGAATGGAACGAGAATCAGAGGTTGTCTGCCGTAGGGATAGGATAGAGTTCCATACTTTCCACGAAGAAAAGCCGATAGCCACTCGCTCTTTAGGGTCATTACAGAGGAGTGAACCCTTTGACACCAAGAGAAAAAAGCTGGCGATGACTTGGTGAAGGTGAGAGAAGGTTCTCGAATCCTATTTCTTTTGCATTCTCGCGGGATAAGAAAAAGTCTTCCTCTCTTTTTCGGTCATTTCGAGGACTCGCAGAGAACCCTCGGATAGTACCACAATCTATTCTACGTACAACAACGTGTTGAACGACTTCAACAAGCCTGCGCGTAAGATATCCAGCAGAATCACCGTCAATACCTTAGTGTAGGTAAGTCCGGTATAATCCTTTGTTTCATAGTCTGGGGCTATTTACAACTATCCAATTCAGAATTTTCAGATGTACTAGTACTAGTAAGTGCATCAAAGATGCAGTCATCGATTCTCCCAAATGGCCACAATTGAATTGAATATGGAAACAAAAAATAAAAATCTCCACTTTCCTTGTTGCCCGGGCATAGATCTTATTCTTATTTAGTAGAAACTCAATTTGACATTTGTGAGGAAAGAGCAACCATTTGATGTTCACCGGTACTACCAAAAAGTCTCATGCTTACGTTACTGTTACTGATGGTTTAATTATCTTGGGCCACGAAGACCCCAGTCGTGCTTCTGGTTTCCATTCCCATCATCATATTGATGATAAATCTCCTCGTGCTCTGCCATAAGAACTTGGAGTTCGTATCATGGTGAATGTAAGGCTGTGATTCTTGCTCAAAAAAAAAAAAAGACCAAACGCGTTCGAGTTATTGGCTCGTCCAACCTAGCAGCATGGGCGATGGAACGAAGTAGTGAGCTCGATCAGCATCAACAATACCTTATGTAACGACTGAACCCGTAGCTGCTTTTTTTTTATCGTGTGAGTGAGTTGTTTCAAAGTCTTAGAAGTTGAATGAATCAAATTTACTTTTTCTCGTTCTATCTCAGAGTATCCATTTGCGCCTTCGTAAGGCACGAACGGTATAAGACAAAGAAAGCCCCCTCTCTTCCTATTCCAAAAGACTCTTGGCTTAAAAGCAATTCGGGGGCGATTGGGACGTGGCCATAGGGGTCTTTATGACATAATCAATAATTTGTTTCATTTTCAATTAGGTCTTGCTCTAGCTTCTTTAGGGGTTATTACTTCCTTAGTAGCCCAACACATGTACTCGTTACCTGCTTATGCGTTCATAGCGCAAGACTTTACTACTCAAGCTGCGTTATATACTCATCACCAATATATCGCAGGAGTCCTTTCTTCTTATCCTGGGAAACAATCTCTCTTCAGCAAGCATCCTCCCTTTTGGATAGACCTAGTGCTAGTGGGGAGTGGTAGGTTAAGAAGAACCAACTGCAGTGTGAATACCCTTTCTCTAGTGGGGAAAGCCTTCCAATTCAGGAACAAAGCTGCAGTAATTCTTTGGAAAAGCCCGATTCTCTTTGCCTTCGAGCTTTTATTTCTCAATCCACTTTTTCGTTCCTTCATATACCCCCACAGCCTTTGACGCTTTAATAAAGTAATCCTACTGGTCACGGATGGTCTAACTAAAGAACATTGTATCGGAGCTCATCTGCTTGCGCAGGATTGATATACCGATTCGATCCGAGATCTCAATATTATGCCTTGAAGAGGACTCGAACCTCCACGCTCTTTAGCACGAAATTTTGAGTCTCGCGTGTCTACCATTTCACCACCAAGGAATCTTGAAAGTGAATCGTATTCCATGAATATGATACTAGTGTGATGTATGGAATATATGATAAAGGTGGAGAGTTGGAGTATTTCTATTGATTGGTCATGTCATATAGGCCCGAGTCGGACATACAATTGCTTCAATTTGAATTATCTGAAAGATGCCTTATATATTATATCAATCAATATAGATTATACAAAAAAATAGAGAATCAAACCCATTTCTCGATTCAATAGAATCCCAAAGAGGTGAATAGAATAGGGTCCCAAATCAAATATGGAGATATATATGTAAAAAACGGGTCCGATTACGCCTATTCCTAATCCTAAATGGAATGTAACAAGGAGGGATCCAGGTTTCCTTCTTTGCGTTCACTCGCGGAGTTCTAGTTAGGTAAATTCTTTGAACCCTAGTCAGTAGACTGGACTTTCCTTAGCGATTGGATCCATGAGTTCAATCAAATCGGATGTGGTATCGTAGTAATATTTGTACGTTCTCTTATCTATTCTAGATCAACAGAGTGGTTGAAATTTCATTCCTATTATTGAATTTATTATGGAATATCAAAAGAAAGGACTTAAAAACAGAAAAAGATAAGAATTAGGGAGTTCTTGGATGGATTACCTAATTTGAAAGATACAATGCTATTTAGTTCGGACGAGTCTAGTTAATAGGATGAAACTCCCCTCTCTTTACAGTCGAGTATATTTGTTCCTCTTCCTTTCCTTCATGAATGATAATCATGACCACAGGAACGAAGTTGCTCGACTGAAAGGAGAGGAACGAATATACTCGAACAAAGTGAGAGGTTATCAATATGCTCGACTGAATCCGGAGGGAAAATTCTTTAGGAAAAAGCTCGGCTTAAGTTAATGGGGAATATATGAGCCCGAAAGGCGGGCGAAGGAAATCTATCTATCTGAGATAAAAGTATTAAGCATATCCAGCTTTGCAAGTTAATGGTTCCGCCCCCTCTACTATTGCAGTGGCAGCTTTTGCCAGCCATTGATTCAGTTTCTGTGCTAGTTGCAGTCCCTCTTTTAGTGGTAAGTTTCCACTCAGCCATTTATTCTTCTTCAGGGTCCCTTTCAAGCCGGCGGGAGAAAGGGCAAAAGCTGTTTATGAGTATTTAATTAAAATAGAAATTATGGCCATTCACAAGATAAGCGCCCGGGTTAAGAGCGAGTGGCTATCGGCTTTTCTTCGTGGAAAGTATGGAACTCTATCCTATCCCTACGGCAGACAGCCTCTGATTCTCGTTCCTTTCCTAACTTAGCATTATAAGGCCAACTTGTATGTCGTGTTGGGAGCTCATGTAGCTCATGCTGGATTGATCGTATTCTGGGCTGGAGCAATGAACCTATTTGAAGTGGCTCATTTAGTACCGGAGAAGCCAATGTATGAACAAGGATTAATTTTACTTCCCCACCTAGCTACTCTGGGTTGGGGGGTAGGACCCGGCGGAGAAGTTATAGACACCTTTCCATACTTTGTCTCTGGCGTACTTCACTTAATTTCCTTTGCAGTATTAGGCTTTGGTGGTATTTATCATGCACTTCTGGGACCCGAGACTCTTGAAGAATCCCAAAAGGCTAAAGGAAGAACCAGTCACTTTATGGATAAATAGGATAGGAAGATCTCGACGTAAAGCTGGCACAACTCCGTGAAACTCGGGTCCCTATTACCGCAATGAGAGGAAGATAAGTAGGAGAACGGCAGGCGAAAGGTAAAGGTGAAACCTAGAACCTTCAACCTTCGGCTTTCATATTCTTTCTCTTCGATTCAAACGTAACAACTAGAAAAGAACGAATATCTTTTACTTATTCACCTAGTTTATCAACGTTTTGGAAAATGCTAGAAAAAAAGATGTTGCGAATAGGGGTGGGCAACGGGAAACGGGTATTTGGGTATACCCGTACCCGTCCCGTTTTTTAAGGGTTACGGGTACCCATATTACCCATAATATTATAAACGGATGGGACTTGGGATTGTACATTCCTAATATGGGTACCCGTGGGTTACCCGCGAATACCCGTTTGGGTAATATGGGTACCCGTTATACCCATTCAATACAAAAACATAAATTTAATTCAGCCCAACCCAATTCAATACCCATTGGCCATTTCGGCCCTTACCCTTTCAATTTCAATTCCATTT